GTTCTCATAAGGGGGAGGAGGGTCCATAAGGACAATCTCCGCTGAATTTTCTTCCTTTCTAGAATTAGCAAAAGTTATATGCGGGAGACGAATTAAAAAAAAAAAATTATAACTTACTTTTTCAGAATCGCTTTAAAATTGGTTATAGCCATATTGGTATCAGCAACATCTGGACGACTAATAGACTGCTCAAATGCAGGATACATTCCGGTGACCGGTGGTGACCTTGTTATCTGGGAAAGTTATGGACACATCAAACATGTTACGAACCTGACTCTGTACGAACGACTAAAGGACGAGACAGCTAACGCTTCGGACCATTTTCCTCAAACACACATGAGGAAGTTGCTAGACGCAGACGTAAATCAGATAAGTAGACTAATACAGACAGTAAATACTCATCACAGACAAGCGAGAAGCTTGAACTTTATAGGGACGGTACTGAAATATATTGCAGGGACCCCAGACCATGACGACTTTGACAGACTAACAAACAAGGCAGAACAACTAATCGACTCCCAGGACAGACAGTTTACTATCAGCACGGAGGTACAGAAAGAAATTAATAGTCTCACCATTACAGTAAATAAAATCTTGAAGACAGAAAAACACAGAGAAATAGACACAGAGAAATAGACACTATTCTATTAGCTAGAAACAGAGCAATAATAACAGACTTAGACAATCTTATCACTTCTATCACATTCGCAAAAATTGGAGTCTTGAACCCCATCCTTTTAGACAGTAACGAAATAAACTTCATAATAAAAAATGAGCACTTCACGAACCTCTCCGTGGCCGATGTTATGGCTGTAGCTAATATTAAGATTTTGCAATACGATAATGTAATTTACTTCCTAATAAGATATCCTATTCCTAAGCTTAGATGTAAGAAAATTACTATTTTACCAGTAGCTCACGGCCACCAAATGCTCCACCTACAAGAATCCACCTTAGCGGTATGCCATAATCGTACCTTAGCGGTAAGGAACTGCAGCGACACGATACCAACTTTTTGCCTACCGTCATCAGCCACATCATGCGCTCTACAACTACTGACACGTAACACTGCAAGCTACAGCACCACATTCAACAATCTCACGCCGATTACACCAATAGGCGATGGATTGGTAGTCATAAATGACCAACTGGCAATAGTAGAAGAAAGTAATGAAGCTCCTGTTACAATTAATGGCACTTACCTGGTCGTTTTCAAAGATCATGTAAAAATCAACGATTCGTTATATTACAACGAGAATTCGACGACTCCTCTGCAACCTGAAACTCCATGGGCTTCTGAGATCAACCTGACACAACACACTGAGATACTAAGTGCCCCCTATCTGCACCACGTGAACCAACGGAACCTTCAACACATCCGCCATTTACAACGTGTGGTCGATCAGGGTCAAATCGCAGGTTTATCAACCATTGGTGGTTTTGCGATTGTGGGACTGGCAGGTTACCTATTACGACGAAGAACCATCACAAAAAAGATCATCATAACCAGGTCAGTTGAAGATGCAATCAAAAACGCTATTACGAGGACCGAGGACGGCCCCCACTTAGAAGGGGAGGAGTTATCATGAGGAACCCTCGTGTTCCCGTATTCCCACAGTTTGGCTGCACTAAAGCAACCAAAAACCCCACACGAGCTGCTAAGTCAGCGCATTAAACACCTTATTCTAAACACCTTATTCATTTGGTTGCACCCAAATGGAGTGAATTCTCGCAATTCAACCGAGTTTGGCATAAAAGCAAGAATTTCAAATTTGCTCCCATACACGCGTTTAATCAGATTTGATGTTTAAATCTCCAACTTTCGGAATATGCACTCTACCACAATGATATTTTATGCCAGATATCTCATAGAGCTCAGAAATTGCAATATAAACTTTTCTTCTACGAGAGCTCTACTAAATATGCATAGTTGTGTAGGGTATCATGTAGTCGGCCCCGCCCAACTTTTGAGCTTTCCTTACTGGTTTTTCATGGTTTTCACCAAATAGGCAATTTAGCCCAAATTTCAAACGTAATAACTTTAAATTCTGCATTTATTCAGCATATCATCAACAGACAGACGGACATCGTTAAATCGACATAGAATTTTATGCTGATCTTGAATATACATACTTTATGTTAGGTATACAAAAAATTTCACACGAAGTCCAAACCAAAATACTAGACTTCTTCCCTGTCCTTAACTATTTTCTCATGCAAAATTCCATGTCGATTGATTTTTTCTGTGACCTGTAGAGCGACTGCAAAATCAGGATAATTTTATTTTTTTTGGTCTAAATGTACATCTGCAAAAACAATAGGCTTTAATTCTGACCGTAACCCTACCCCAAGCACAATTTTGTGAGGATCGGACAATAATTGCTACCTGTATATAATACTGTCAACACATAGTGTTGCGGGGTGTAAAAAAAAAAACTTTAGAAAATGTACAATTCATAATTCTAAGTCAACTTGAAAGAATCGCATGCGATATAAAATATGACAAAAATTGAAAAATATGTAACAAAAAATATTCACTTTTTTATTGTTATTGTTTTTACGCGATTTTCTTAGATCTAATCCTTTTTGGCATAAGATCATTCCGAATTGATGGCAATTGTAAAAATCAGCCCAGCGGCTCTTGGATTGTACCAATTTTTCTATTTATCCGATATCTTGGCTATCAGCATCACTGTAATGATCAGAAGTGACCCTTGATGTATGAGATTTGGCAGGTATTAAAAATATTTGCGGTTTAGTGGAAATTTTCGTATTTTTACAATAAAAGTTATGGTTTATTTTACCCGCTAAATACTGTCCAATGACCGTCCTCCTACTGCCCAGCCCTAAACTCTAACTCCGTGCAAAATTCAGCGTTGATTGGTTTATAATTGTGGCCTGTAAAACAACAGCAAAATCAGGAAATTCTTATGTTTTCGGTCTATTTCAACCCCTAAATATTTTGCGATCATCTCCAAAAACGATAGGCTTCTATTCTGACCCTATCCCCACCACCATTTTGAATTTCGTGAGTATCGGGTCATAGTTGCTGTACCGTATGAAATTGCGTATAGAAATTGCAAAACTAGCAGATTCTTGCAAGTACTGGAAAAGAAAATTAATAGAATTTAAATAAAGAAAATTAGAATTGCAATGTAATGAAATGAGTGAAAAACCATAAAAGCCATACGCATCCTGATGTTATTATGCGATAGTCTTGAACTCGATAGCGAGTAGTTTTGCAAATTTTAGATATACCTAGAAGTTGCAAATCGAATGGTTTGAAAGTTTTCATGAGTAAGTAAAGGAATGCTATTACGAAAATTTGGCCCTTTGACATGTTGTGATACGAGTTTATACCCTACACAACTTTGTGGTAAAGTGTATTATGTCTTTGTGCATTTGTTTGTAACATACAGAAGGAAACGAGATAGACCCATAGCTCTTTCTGATGGTCACATTCACATTCTGAGTCTATTTATGTATTTTTGTATGCATCCCCGTCCATGTATTTTTGTAAACATAGCACTGATAGCATTTGTTTGGCTCAAAGCCGAACCTTCTTGAAATCGGCGATAATCGGTCCGAGTTTAAATACAGCCCCAATATTTGTGTTCGTATGGCTTCAGTTTTATTGTGCGACAACTGTAATGTTGATCCAAGTACGATGGAGTTTGCCACATGCGGCCAAAATTAGAGTATAAGCCAGTGTTTCAATATTTGTGAAAATCGGATATAGCGATAACTTCCTTTATATATGTTTCATCCGATTTGATATTTAAGTCCCTCGAAGTTGTAAAATGCACTGTACAACGATGTTACTTAGTTCCAGATACAACCTAGCACAAATTATGGCATTTAAACGTCACACGGTGCCCGAATGTTGCTCTGCGGTATTTTGTCCCCTTCCCGGCGAAATGCTTGCTTGCTCCAGACACAAAAGTCCAACGGATTGGTATCCGGAGATTTTGGTGGATGTTGTGCGCTGGAAATGAAGAGAGGAACCTCATTTTGTAACCATTCTTGGGTGGCGCGTGCTGAGTCCAGTTGGAATGTCCAAGGTCTGTGGCCAAAATGTCTGCGTGCCCAAGGCGTTAATACACCCTCCAGAATATTTTCGCGATACTATTCGGCATTTATTCTGATGCCACGATCGATCAATACGAGCGTAGAGCGATCATCGGCTGTTATGGCGGCCCACACCATCACCATGGCCGGCGCTTGAGTTATGGTGGCCAACCGAAGGTGTATATTTTCAGCTGACTTCTTTGTCAAGTAAACACGATAATTTTGTTTGTTTAAAAACTGCTGGACAACGAATGTTTTCTCATCGGAGAAACCAAATTCGACAGTTCACCACTTTCAGCCAAGCGAAGCAACTCTTTAGCTCTTTGAGTCTATTTTCTTTCTGTTACGGGGTAAGTTCTTGGATTTTTTGGAATATCAATGGCTTTAACTCCGACCTTATTTTTAAACACTTGCCGAATGGAATATTGTGATATGTTCAGCTCAGGAGCCATTTTTAGACCACTGCGACGCGGGTTTCGATCAAATCGCTTCTTTACCCTTCGAACCATTTCTGCTGATGTTGCTGTTTGTTCAGTCCACTTCCTTGACGTCGGACTACGCTACCAGTATCAGGTTACGAGCGATGGTACGAGACACAAACGATTTATTCACATTTAAATGCTGGAGTGCTCTAACGGGAGCCACTTGTGGCTTTCCTGCCAAATATAACGAAACCGCTTGAATTCTATTACGAATAACCTTTTTACTGGAAAATTCTCACCAAAAATGCTCCTGTACGCTTGTAAACAATATAATGAGCTGTCACTGGAATAATTTTAACAGCTGTCGAAAGAGTGGCTTAGAAATGACAGCAGTCTGAAGTTGGTTGCAGTTTTTTCATCTCACCCTGCACTGTTCATAAACTCTATTTAATGTCGATGAAATTTCTTCCTCTGGCACAAATAATAGACTCAATTCGAATTCGGCTTTTATTTAAATTTTCTAAAGATGTAACTGAAATCTATCTGTTTAAAACGACTTAATTTTGAATTTCGATTGAAATTGTATCAACAAGTACAGACTAAATGTTGTCTTCAATTATTTGGCAAATTATGGGAACATCTTGTATGCGGGTTGGATTTGAAACGGAGGCATGAACTAAATTGCTCTGAATTGTATTGCTTTTGAATTTCTTCCATTGACGCGTACATACAAAATCGGTGAATAGCGATTGCCGGGATGGAATAGTTGAATCCAGATAAAAACGCCTGCGTTGCCATACATTGCCGGGATTTTGCATTTTTTCAAAAAGCCAAAATCTGGGTATCATTAGACATTGTACAGTTGTCCGTGCCATTATAACGCGACGTTCACTTTTTTCGCCAAGTCCGAATATTCCTCCGAATGTTATGGATCCAACATCAATAAAGTGCTTTTTCTTGACATAGCCCGATTTCTAAAAAGAAGAAATTTATGTACAAAGAAATGTATGATTATTTCAAAACCTTTAAGTTAAATAGCCATTTTCATAAAAAATAGCATATCTCTGTCGGTTTAAAAGTCAAAGTCTACTGGAAAGTATAAAATGTTTTAGATTAGTGCGGAGAGTCGTTTGGTATGTGCATTTTCTCTCGAATATGTTTCCAAATGTTTTTTAGATCAATTACTATAATTTTAATATAATATTATTTTTACATAAAATTTTAAATAAATAAGATCCAAAAGACGGTAAATTGTAAGCGCATAATACTTAATTTGGTATTGCGCACGGACAGGTGTAAATTTATAACTTATATATGCTAATATAAAGATTATTTTTATTGAAAATGTTGACTTTATGGGGGACCGGCCGGAGCGTATAGACATATAATAGTCACATTCTCTGATGATATATATTTAATACAAAAATTTATATGTGTGAAGTCAAAAACGTGCAAACCTACACCTTTTTACACATTCCACCCTACGAAGAATCCACTTAAGACCTCACAAAATGTAAATTCTATGTCAATTTAGCAACATCCGTCCTTCTGTGGAAATCACACTAGCTTAGGAACGATGTAAAATACTGACTGGAATTGTCTTAAATTTCTTAAGTGGAGTTCGTAATGGGTATCATCTGCTACGGCAAATAATTGTCCATATAGCTGTTAAAATTATTCCAGTGACATCTTATTATATTGTTTACAAGCGTACAAGTTATTCGTGATGGAATTCAAACGTGATAGTGTGATTTCTTTATATTTGGCTGGAAAATCACAAGTAAATATCGTTAGAGCACTCCAGCATTTAAATGTGAATAAATCTTTTGTGTCTCGTGCCATCGCTCATTTTCGTGATACTGGTAGAGTAGCCCGACATCGAAGAAGTAGACGAAAGAAAACAGCAACATCAGCAAAAATAGTTCGAAAGTAAAGAAGCGACTTGATCGAACCCCGCGTCGCAGTGGCCGAAAATTGGCTAGTGTGCTAAACATATCGAAATATTCCGTTCAACAAATATTGAAAAATTAGCTCAGGGTATAGCCATTGAAGTTCCAAAAAGTGCAAGTACATAGACTCAAAAGAACTAAAGAGTTGCTTCGCTTTGCCGAAAGTTGTGAACAGCCGAATTTGGTTTTCTCCGATGATAAAACATTCGACCGCTCTCTCCGCTCGTATTAATCGACCGTGGCATCAGATCAGATGGAGGGTGTATTAAAGCCTTGGGCACGCAAACATTTTGGCCGCAGGCCTTGGACATTCCAACAGAACTCAGCACCATCGCACTCAGCACGCGCCACCCAAGAATGATTACAAAATGAGGTTCCTCGCTTCCGTTGGACTATTGTGTCTTTGATATTTTGGAAAGCAAGGTTGATACAAAAAATACCAAAGTGTCGATCACCTCAAGCAAGCGCTTCGCCGGGAATGGTCCAAAATACGGGCAGCATGTGACGGTTTCATTGGACGTTTGAAGATCATAATTCGTGTCAAAGGTAACCAATTCGAACAAATCTAAACTTATTTTAAAATTTGTTGCTATTTTCGACATTTTTGCTTTCATTTAATCAAATTAAAAAAAAATGTTAAAATTATGGCAATTGATTGCTGTTTTTTTATCTCACATTTCGCTGACGATCTAAGATTGATACAAAACTTACCGTGTTTGAAGTCAAAAACGTGCAAACTTACACCTTTTTATACATTCCACCCCACGAAGAATTCACTTAAGGCCTCACAAATGTAAAATACTGCCTGGAATCGTCTTTAATTTCTTATGTGGAGTTCGTAATGGGTACCATCTGCTATGGCAAATAATCGCCCACATATAAAGAAACTTACCAATATTCAGTATTTTCATAATTGTTCAAAGGAATTATTTCAAATTGTTGTATGTGGTGTTGACAATAGCTATCATCTTCTCAGGTAGAAAATGATCTAAACAGGTCCACATTTTCGCGTAGCCCCCATATTATTATACCTATATATCAATTTACTAATACAAGTTTTTGCTAACATTAGTTGAGTTGCATAAAGTTTTATTAGCATAGCAAATACCGCCCTGTTATTGTAGTTACTGTTCCCGAACTCTATTTAATTTTGATGAATTGTTTTAAATTTGGTACAATCGGTGTTTGGGTAACGGACTGAGCTGGAGCCGATGTAGTACAGAATAAACGAACCAAAGGCTTTTTTGAAATTTGAATTATAAGTGTTCGAATATAAATGTACCACAATTAATTAAATTTGTATTTGGTATAAGAATTAAGTTTAGAAAATTTAGCTAATATAAAGAGGTAAATTTAGAAATGAGTACTTTTGGTTTTGGGTGAACGTATGGAGAAAACATTTGATATGTTGGCATAGAGGTCACTACTGATGTGTGGAGTTGTTATAAAATGTAATAAATTGTATTAAATTTGTTATTTGGTAGACCGATAATAATGTTGATGCGTGAGATTGAGATTTGAAGATGATTGTGGAAATACGTACTAAAATATCAATAAGTAATAAAGTGTACTAAATTTGGTCTTTGGGGAAGAAATTGAGCAAAGTGTTGAGGTTCCTTGACATTATGTATAAGCAAAGGATTTTTGAAAATTCGAACTATAGCTTTCACCAAAAGTTCTAAAATGCAATAAATTTGGTACGATTTCATATTATGTAAATTTTTTGCTACGAAATGTGGTACAACATGGTTTTGGGTGAATAGATAACTGTTTAGCCTTAAGATAAGGAGGTGAATTTGGAAACCCTTTATATAAAATGGCCCAATAGTGCTAAAAGGTACTAAATTAGATATAGGATTAGATTTAGGAATAGAGTTGAACTTATGAATATTGTTGAGGGGGTAACTGTTGGTTAGACAGGGGAGAGAGAGTGAACGTAGTGTAAATGTACGTAGTTCGGTAGGAAGTGTAGGAACATAGCTGGATATATACATGTTGATATTAGAGTCACTGTGAGTGTATAGCTTTAGTCGATTTCCAAATGTGATCTATAACATATACAGGGTGAGATAAAAAACTGCAACAAAGTCAAACGCCATAATTTTTACATTTTTTTTTTAAATTTCAAATTTTAGAATAAATTTAGATTTGTTCGAATTAGTCACCTTTGGTCACGAATTATGGCCTTCAAACGGCCAATGAAACCGTCACACGCTACCCGATTGTTGCTCCGCGGTATTTGGTCCATTCCCGGTGAAGCGCTTGCTTGAGGTGATCGACACTTTGGTATTTCAAAATACTCCAGACACAATAGTCCAACGGATTGGTATTCGGAGTTTTTGGGGGCCATTATGCGCACAATATAAACAATATAATGAGCTGTGACTGGAATAATTTTAACAGCTGTCAGACGAATGGCTTAGAAATGACAGCAATTTGAAGTTGATTGCAGTTTTTTCATCTCACACTGTAAGTACTATGTGGTACTATATCTGTTACCCAGAGCGGGAGAGGAGTGAGAGTTGTGCATTTTGGTGTTAAGATCAGTGTGAAACATATGAAATATCATCATATTTTACAAAAGGAAGTGAAATACATAGCTACATATATTTATGTACCCATTTTTAGAGGTTACTTGGGGAAGCTGTGGCGTCGACAAATTCTAATCATTGGGACTTATAAATACTACATTACAGCTAATTCAGTTCGACAATTTGTATTAGGAACTTCAGAATAATAGCCACCGATATCAATTTATAGCACCAATGTCCAATTGAACTATGTTGACTTTTTACAATAGGGATTACCGCATTGGGGACATTTCAATACCAATCATCTTAAAAGAAAGAAAGAAATGGATGGAAAGGTAACAAAAACTGTTAAGCTGATCTTAGTTGGAAGCCATAACCTTGAAAAATATATAGGTCTTTCAAGCTGACTATAATTCAAAAATCAACAAGTTAAAAAGCAGTAAGTTCGGCCGGGCCGAACTTTGAATACCCTCCACCATTTGGAACGAATTTCGAAATTTTCAGAAAATAAAATCCGTATATTATATTGGACCTGCATAGGCATTGTTTGCCATTAGCCATTGTCATATTCTGTAGTATCCATTTCGAACTTAGATACCACAGTTGAAACAATTCCGGTGAATATCAATCATCAAAATACCGAATATCGGGAGGTACCGTTATATGGGGGCTGTATGAAAACGTGGACCTACAATAAACACGTGTGCAAAATGTTAGCCTTCTATCTCAATTCTTTCGAAAGATAGCGTGATTACAACAGACAGGCAGGCGGACAGACAGACATGGCTAAATAGAATTTTACGCTGATCAAGAATATATATACTTTGTTGGGTCTGACATGAGTATTTCGAGGAGTTACAAGCGGAATGACAAAGTTAATATACCCTCCATAGTATGATGGAGGGTATAATAATAATTATTACAAAGTATAATGACGGGTTTAAAATTAGGAATTAGATACATTTATATTTACGGTTTCTTCGACTATTCCCCTAAAAATTCCAAAAGAATAAATAATGAAATATATGGAAACTAAAATTGGAATCGCGAATTATTATTAGTACACAATGATAAAGTTTCGAAAAAGTGATTGACATGGAAATTACTCTCAATCTCCTTTATTTCGCATCTCCTTATCTGTAGGGTTAATGTCATTGAACCCCTATAACTAGAAAGCTATGAACAGCACAAACATAATGTATACCGCGGTGCCGTGACATAACCCCCAGAGACATAACCCCCATTTTTTTGGGGGCGGGCTTAAGTCCGTCCCATACCGCGGACATCTATTCGGATTCTGATGCTTCCGAGCCCAAGTTAATGGAAATATTTTCGTTATCACGCATTATGTTGTTGCTTTTATTTGTCATACTTTGTAAAAAAAATTTTAAGAGTAATTTCGCCCAAATCATACTTCGAAACTAATTCATTTATTAAATCATGTCGGTCCCTATTCCTCTTTTTTGGCCTTTCAAAAACTTCATAAAATCCATC